TAATGGTCTCAAGCTTTATCGGCATTCAACGTGAATAAAGGTATTTTAATTTATCACTTAGTACAGTGAATGCATAATGCTGTATGCAAGCTGCAATGTAGCAGCATGGCTTAGCAATTGTATATTTGCCTAAAACAAAATGCCGGTCTTCACATCAATCTGTAGCGGGGCACGGTTCAATCATGAGTCCTGGTGACTTTAAGAACGCAAATAATATTTTCAAATATCCTTGCAGTCTATACAAGATCACGGCTTGCTGATGATCCTTTAATGACCGAGGACCAATGACACCTTGACCTTTCCTCGACAGTCTGTAGATCGGCATTACATTACTGATGAGCTATGATAGGGGTGAAAATGCTGTGACATGCTGTGGACTGTCCTTAGTGTTTTCTTCAAGACCTGTCAGCGGAATTATTAAACAGAATATTTGAGAATATTTATAATCATTCCTCACTCTATTCTCATGTAATTTATCTTACAATGAGCAGTCAGTCGTATAGCATGTGGCAATGACTGTTTTATGAAAATGCTCTTTAAACAATGAGATACAAGCTTAGGCCAAGAAATGAAACAAACGATACAAACGAGAATGTAACAATGAGACAAAACAAGAACCGTAACCTGGAACAGGGTTAAGCAACTAAAACTACAAGGAGCCATTTTTTGTGCAGATTCGGGAAGAAACTCAAGACTTCAAAGAGCTGCCATGCACCGCTGGCGAATACGAGACGGTGATGGTACTCAAACAATGCGGTCCCCTTCAAGAGCGGCTCCGGAGCCGCAGGTTGCTGACCTTCTGACCTGGCATCGAGTTGCGACCCAGGATCGCGACAAATAATACAACCTTGGTGGACGGGCGAATCAGTAGATGTCTCCTGGGGACTAACACGCTACTGTGATTAGCTTTCCCAAGGCAACAATCGGCAATATAATCCAATTTGGGTTTATACACAGTATCAAAATGTAACCACCACAATGCAGCTCTGTTTCCAGTGAGGGATCACATCACCACTGTCTTGATTCAAAGGCCGTGATGAGGTTTTTTGTTATTATGTTTTTACCATATCCTTTGTATTGTTTCTATTTTTTTCCAGTCTTGTAATAGTGCTGTTTTCTCCACTGCACAAGCATACCATTTCCATACATGAAAAACAATAAATTCTTACACACACGTTAACTGCTTTGTGAGCTATAAGAATCAATATAAATTGATGGATCAATATAAATTAATCTACCCCTACCGATTTATATACTATATTATATCAAACCACCTCCATAAAGCACTAACCCATATTACTTTAACACCAATCGAAGGCTTGACTTTCATAAACAGTGAGGGAAAAAGGTATTTGATCCCCTGCTGATTTTGTACGTTTGCCCACTGACAAAGAAATGATCAGTCTATAATTTTAATGGTAGGTTTATTTGAACAGTGAGAGATGGAATAACAACAAAAAAATCCAGAAAAGCGCATGTCAAAAATGTTATAGATTAATTTTAATTTCAATGAGGGAAATAAGTATTTGACCCCCTCTCAATCAGAAAGATTACTGGCTCCCAGGTGTCTTTTATATAGGTAACGAGCTGATATTAGGAGCACACTCTTAAAGGGAGTGCTCCTAATCTCAGCTTGTTACCTGTATAAAAGACACCTGTCCACAGAAGCAATCAATCAATCAATCAGATTCCAAACTCTCCACCATGGCCAAGACCAAAGATCTCTCCAAGGATGTCAGGGACAAAATTGTAGACCTACACAAGGCTGGAATGGGCTACAAGACCATTGCCAAGCAGCTTGGTGAGAAGGTGACAACAGTTGGTGCGATTATTCGCAAATGGAAGAAACACAAAAGAACTGTCAATCTCCCTCGGCCTGGGGCTCCATGCAAGATCTCACCTCGTGGAGTTGCAATGATCATGAAAACGGTGAGGAATCAGCCCAGAACTACACGGGAGGATCTTGTCAATGATCTCAAGGCAGCTGGGACCATTGTCACCAAGAAAACAAGTGGTAACACACTACGCCTTGAAGGACTGGAATCCTGCAGCGCCCGCAAGGTCCCCCTGCTCAAGAAAGCACATATACATGCCCGTCTGAAGTTTGCCAATGAACATCTGAATGATTCAGAGGACAACTGGGTGAAAGTGTTGTGGTCAGATGAGACCAAAATGGAGCTCTTTGGCATCAACTCAACTGGCCGTGTTTGGAGGAGGAGGAATGCTGCCTATGACCCCAAGAACACCATCCCCACCGTCAAACATGGAGGTGGAAACATTATGCTTTGGGGGTGTTTTTCTAAGGGGACAGGACAACTTCACCGCATCAAAGGGACGATGGACGGGGCCATGTACCATCAAATCTTGGGTGAGAACCTCCTTCCCTCAGCCAGGGCATTGAAAATGGGTCGTGGATGGGTATTCCAGCATGACAATGACCCAAAACACACGGCCAAGGCAACAAAGGAGTGGCTCAAGAAGAAGCACATTAAGGTCCTGGAGTAGCCTAGCCAGTCTCCAGACCTTAATACCATAGAAAATCTGTGGAGGGAGCTGAAGGTTCGAGTTGCCAAATGTCAGCCTCGAAACCTTAATGACTGGGAGAAGATCTGCAAAGAGGAGTGGGATAAAATCCCTCCTGAGATGTGTGCAAACCTGATGGCCAACTAGAAGAAACGTCTGACCTCTGTGATTGCCAACAAGGGTTTTGCCACCAAGTACTAAGGCATGTTTTGCAGAGGGGTCAAATACTTATTTCCCTCATTAAAATGCAAATCAATTTATAACATTTTTAACAGGCGTTTTTCTGGATTTTGTTGTTGTTATTCTGTCTCTCACTGTTCAAATAAACCTACCATTAAAATTATAGACTGATCATTTCTTTGTCAGTGGGCAAACGTACAAAATCAGCAGGGGATCAAATACTTTTTTCCTTCACTGTACATCTTTGCCATATAACCCACCGATACATTTCCCCGTACTTGAATCATAACTTGTATAAAACAAACAAATCATAATAAGTCCACCACTCCACATAAAGCTGAAATACTTTTTTGAAGTCAATGGTCATTTCGACCAATGCTTTACAGTACTAATTTTTACGTAGGCCAATTGGGAACTGGTTTCGACTTACTGAGTTTCATCAGCAGACCCGCTCAACAAACACTGCTGTGTTGCCGACTGTTATTGTGTTATTGGCAAGTGCCACTCATCTATGCCATGCCACTCTTCAACACCATGCGGCCCATTCGGTGCAAAACACTTAAAACTCTGGCATTACTTGATTCTTCAGAAAGACAGAGACACAGATCCCCTGTATAGCCTTCACAGACCGTTGGACCAAGTGCTGTTAGCGAGCACCTTCAGCATCACCACTTTCCACACTCGCACCTCTCCAAGCGTCCGAACACAGTAAAGGGGGGGGGGGGGTGGAAGATTGGGAGTGGGTGGGAGTGTGCAACGTGACTGAAAAAGAGGGTGGGTGTGGAATGGTGGTCGAGGCTACACAGTTCGTAGGGATCCGGAAAAGGTGTATATATGTCTTGAGAAATGCTTTTTGTGTTAAGTTTGTTATCCTTCCCCCTGCTCCTCCAATTAGCACGGTTGGCTATGTACGATGCATGAAAGAAGCTCAACATATGGAGTGATGTCTTCTGTCACGTGACACAGATGTTGCCAAATCTGCTCACAACTATCTCGTTCCGTTGTCCCGCAAATAAATCCCATAGGTGACAAACTATTCCGATTGCGCTATTGGCATCGTCGTTCATGTGAAGAAATGTACAAAATTAAACTCTCCTGGCAAGCAGTGCACCACTCTGTGTCAAAGAACAGCCCCGGAATGACAACACAGGACAAATTCTGAAGTCAGTTTAAATAACTTCTTCATTAACAATGGGGGGGGGGGGGCACACCTTGGTCAGTGTTTTCATCGTTCAGTTGATTTTCTTTGACCAGAGTAAGAACTCGAAGAGACCAGGATAGAATTATTCGCAAGAGTGACCAGTTTGCCAGTTGCCGGCGATGAATGCTGCCGTGTACAATCCCAATAGAGTAATTTGTGGGTAATTAGAAAGTTTTTTTTAAATATGGACCCTACCACCAACACACAATGACCTGCTCCTGCAAATTACATCAGGGGGATTTTTAAAGTTCATGTGAGAAGCACACAGTGGCACGTATTATCACGGTTATTACATCTGCAGTAATAATCAGGGCTCCCGGTGGATTAAAGTGGTCATGTCACCAAACAGTCAATACAACAAAAATATTCAATTCTTAGAAAAAAAATAAATCATATGACAAAGCAAACCAAATTTCGTTCGAAGTTATTTTGTGCAATAACTTGTGAAGAGGCTGAGACCATCAACCAACTCAATGAAATTGAGAAACCGCAGTTTAATTACAGGCAGGTGAAACCTGTATATGAACCGAGGATCTGAGTGGTGCTGGCTGCGCACCTGAAATAGTGTTAGCCCCACGAGCCAACTGGCCACCCTCACAAGTTCACACACAAGAACGGCGCGGACAAACTATTTTCAACGACCCATCGAGAGACGAATGTGGATCCTGGTGAGATACAACCGACTGTCCAGACTCAGCCGTCCAATTCAGCGTGCACAAGAGTCAAAGTTCACAATCTCCACCAAAGATTAATAGAATTATACAGCTACGAAGCTTCATAGGCAACTTACGCCAGCAATTAATATATTGTGAGCAGCTATAGCAATTTGGTATTTAACAATTAAGAGTAAGAAGGTTGCCTGCAGTCAATTGGTGAACACTGTATGTGGACAAACATTGCTCGACCGTTCCCGACGATACGATCCGACTGAAAGTGGACAGCCTGGTTGCCCCACTAGGGGGAGGAGCAGGGATCAGGTTTGGCAGGAATTGGGCGACTAAAATTATTATCTTTTCCACGCAAGAGAAAATGGTACAGCAACCATCGCCCGTGACGACTGCCGGCAACGATCAGTGACAACGTGACTGGTACTAACCTTATTTATGTCACCGTCTCACTTAATCAAAACAACTTGGACCGATACAGGTCGAGTCATTTATTGCGTCCGCTCGTGAAATCACTCTAGGGTGGGGATTGGGGAAAACAAAAAAGGGGGGCACATGTACACGCTTGTCACTTGTTTTTTCACTCATCCGGCAGGCCCTTTCGTTACATTTATTTTCTTTACATTCCCAGAGACGTTTGTCAGCAAGCAGGGGTGGGGGGCTGCATTCTTGAAAAATGCGCCCGTTGCCCCCGACTCGAAAAGGCAATCGCATGCTACGGCTGGGGAGTCCTTTGGCTCGGCTAACATTTCCACTTTCCCTCCTCGCCGTCACGTGTAATCAAAAAACACATCACTCAAAGTGAAGGCGCACTAAGTATTTAGACTTGTGGTTCGTGAACCGCCAATTTACAACATTAAAGGGGGAGCAGTGATTTTTATTATTGGGAGGTTCCTTCTGTTGTTTTTTTAGGCGTCAAGCTTTTTGACATTAATTTTACACAAATAAAACATTTGTTATCTCTCTGGCAACAGTTGATGAAGGGCCTATGGCTAACGGCCACACCATATAGTGGGCCAGACGGTGCAGTTGTTACAGTAATTGTAGTTGGAAGGTTTCATGTTCAAAATGTGGTCAGGAAGTCAACTAAAGCCAGCGCTGCCAACCCTGCAGACTCATGAAGAAGAGTAGAAACCACTTTATGTTTTACGTGAACAGTGGTTAGCTTTTGGAATAGGATGGGCTCTGCCATGAGACCATGGAATGTCCAACTACTGGCTTGCGTGTTTTGTCAACAGAGGTTGGCGTCGACTCCCATCGCTAATTTGAGCAGGATACAACGTTACTGTTTATAAGCACTCTAAATTCAAGATAACCTCAAATTACTATAAACTAAACTATTTTTATTTTACCAGGTAAGGCCCAGTGAGTTGTATACCTCTTTTTCAGAAGCGACCTGGCTATCACAAATGAAAGCTCAACGAAGTGGCTAATCACATAGAAATTTATAGCAGCCAAATACTCTATAGACGCATGTTGATTCTAAATGTGGAGGGAAAAACCGAAGGACCCAGAGAAAAATCCACGCGACTACGGGGAGACATGCAAACTCCAAATATACAGGCGTCAGGGTCAGGATCGTACCCACGACCTCCTGTATACCAGGCGAGGTATTTTAACATCTCCTAGCCACCATGGCGCCCTGCGAACAACAGCAGGGACCCACAGCCACCCAATTTGTTAAACATTCACGGTTTACAAATTAACGTAGGTGAATGCTGCTTCTTTAAACATTGACAAATGTAGCGGTCACTCACGAAATATATGTACACGGAAGGACCTTTTGAGTGTTATCCTCTCCATTGAACAGAGTTCTCCAGATAATCCGGTTCCCTCCCTTGTGTAAGAACACTTGATAACAGATTCTCTCTAAAACAGTTCACAAATGTGAGGACTGCTCGTACACAAAAAAATCATAACACTCTGTGAAGCTTTCAAGAATAAAGGGACTATAGCCGGACAGAAATTCCACAAGATGCAGACACATCATTTGCACTGACATGGACAAGGAACCCGTGACTGACAATTTGCACGAGTTAACACTGCCAAATACGCGCATGCACACACGCACACACTGTAGTTAAGAAAAGTGGATCACGTCAAACGCCAACATTTCAGGCAACTTGGGTTATTTTTCGGGTTATTTAAGACGTTCTTACCTTGCACTAAACTGTGAACGGAAAGTGCTTGTAAGGAAAGCAACACAAACGCAGAGTTAAGCCGATGAGACGAAGGATTTTTATTATTCGCCATTCTCTGCGGAACGCTTTCTCTTTAGCATCAATTTATCGGGGCAATCTTTGGGGCTCATTACTTCACACCCCCGGTGACTAACGACCAGGCAACCAGGTCTCCAAATTCAATACCCAATTCTTGCGCGCAGCATGCGCCCCGCTATTACAGGCATTCATCACTCCATGACGGGTGCCGGTTTATAAGAGGGCTCTGCAACTTTTTTTTAACGACGCAGCCGAAATGCGTAGATTTTTGTGAGAAAATTACGTTTCGGTTGAATACGACAGGAGAGTTCACGCGTGCCTCTTAAATGTTTTAACTCGCCATTCACCAAACCCAGCCACGACACGTTCTGAACGAGGACACAGTATTAAAAAAATAAAACAATCTCAGAAGGCCAGTCTATTAACGGAGCCTCCATTTTGTTTCGGGGGATTTGGGTGTACAAAGAAATGCGAGCACGGAAACAACGCAAGCGTGTACAAATGGATGCACCGCGCGCTACGCGTGTCACATTACACCTTGCACCCAGGGGTGCGCGTTCTAACGCATGCTAAATCATGCTGGAACACAGCAAAATGTAGGTAAAAAATTGTTTTTAGATATTTCGTGAAATAATTTTACAGACAATTTTTACCCCAAACAACATAAATGTTGGCAATCGGGCCAGTAAGCGGAGTGTTAAGTTTGGTATTGATTATAGTTTGGGGGGGGGTTTGTACTTTTTGTAAAAACGTATGACGTGTCCTCAGATGTTGTCCCAGGCATCGCAGTAAAGTGGTCTACTGGTCCCCCAATGGCTCTATTCTTGTAGCTAGATGCCTGAGTTGCGTGTCCCGGACTGTCCAACACTAGTTTGACGCTTCGTTAATGACGCAAAAGAAAAAGCCCTGAACATCACTGCCAGGCGCTCCATCAAAACTCCCGAGTGACGTCACCGCGTTGACCTGGTAGTGAAAATGTTTTACCCTGTGCAATGTCACAGTGACGATGCAATCGTGCGATGCGAGACCTGTAACGTCATTGAGCTATAAAGGCGCACACAACAAAATATTTAGAACCTTTCTTTCCTCACTAACGAAGCCTCAAACTAGTGTCCAACTCTCAGGAAATACAGCCGACAAATGTAACTGCAAGAGCTGTATTTTTTTTGGACTCCAAACGTCTATCAAAACCCCCAGTCAACCTTCGCTCGATGGGGAGTTGCTCATTCTCCTCTGCTGCCCCTAAGTGCCCCGAACTCCCTTCACCCAACGTTCGATTTTTTTTATTTTGCCAGAAACCAAGCGAGACAATGCTTGTCTGCCACAGTAGCACACACCTGAAATCCAGTAAATTTGATAGGGCTCTCAAACCCGTGAGTAGGTTCCTGAACCACATGTGCAGATATTTGAGTTGTCTCCTCGTATGGAACGTGGGTTTATGCGGGCAGTCTGCCTTCCTCCCATGTACATAAAAAACCGTACTAATTAAACATTTGTCAAACATCCCAACATAGGACCCTCCAAACAAATACATTTTGAGACTCCGTGAGGCATACTTGTCAACCCTGCCGATTTAAGCGAGAGTCTGCCGATTTCTTTTAAACCTTTTTCACTGCATCCAGAATTTAAAAGCTAACACGCCGCCTTCTCCCACAATTTTTGCTTTGAGCATGCGGTAAACAAAAAACCCAGCAGACGATTGCTAAAATTGCTAATAGGTGGCAATGTGTATCCCTGGCTGGATATTTAGGTGAAGGCGCATCCCTAACTATTATTTTACTCATGCCACGGTTGGCAGCAGAAAGGTCTAATCATCTTTATTTATCCTGGAGAAATCCGATTAACGAGGAAGTTCTTTCTCCACAGATGTCAAGTAATGGACAGATGTCCATTTCCACGAGAGGGAGCCCAAGAAAGCCCCCTGTAGACGGTATTTGGCCTACTCTTCCACGCTGGACGGGCATCTCGGAAGAGGTCGTGGGAGTGCCCAAGTTTTACCCCACCACACGCTGCGGCGCATGCTATTTATTCTGTTAGATGGCCAGAGGCAATGGGATTCACGAAACTTGCCGCGGTTGTTTCAACCTGCCACGCTGGGAAAATCGAACAGGTGAGCTTGCGGATCGCAGCATCTCAAGTAAAATAACGAGATAAACGTATTATTGTACCGATGTGTCCGCGCTCGGGACCCAGTCCCTCAGCCCTTGTTGGGCTCCAACCAACACCCGCCATCACCAGAGTCGCACATTTTTTTTTTGGAGACCAGCTTTTCCAGTTCCCTGGCTGTGTTGTTTGTACAACTCGAGCTAGGAGAGGAGGGAAAAAAACCCTCAGCTGTGCCCCATTGCTGCAAGGAGGTTTGTGGGGCCCATGGCGAGGGGGGGGGAGACTAAAAAAATAACAGCCTCAAAAAAATAACACCCCCCCCTTAACCTTAAAAGCCTCTCGAGTCGAGGGACTCACGCAGAGGCTGAGCCACGGGCGGGCCGGCTGTTTGTTTTACCCCTTTTCACCTGGTCAAACATTGGGGGCTGCTAAAAGCCCTGGCTGAATGGCCAAATCTCGTCGCACACGCACTCATCTGCGTTCTTCTTCCTTCGTACGGACGGCTGATGTAGATGAAAGAGCAGCAACAACTAAAATTTCACATTCAGTTGGTCAAGCCCAGATAACTGCGTTAGAAGCCAGTGGAGTGTATCGCCGCGATGTCTCCTTCGTGTCTGTGGATCGAGCGTTGCGTCGTTATACGTTGTATTATGGTCTGTTTTGGATGATTGCAGTCGCACACGACTGGAGAGTTTTTTAATTTTCGACTTGTGCATCAGGTATCCACATCGACTGCCATGATTTTTGCAGTGGATGCAATTTAGAGTGGACCATGAGCTTTGTGGAAGATCAAACCCAGGGATCTTCGTCCGCACTGTAACTGTGGGAGGAGGGCCGTTACTTATTAATATTATTCTTTCATCGCTGACCACGACGACAGTATTTGTTGTTTTAGATTTGTTCTCTCTCTCTCAACTCCCTTTCCCCACTCTCTCTGTTCTCCCCCACAGCAGTATTTGTTTTATACTTGTACTGTATGTAGGAGTCAGAGCCTGTCTGTGGCGATCTGTTCACGCACAGCGGCACAATTGCCGTTTTTTTATTTTGCCTGGAAAAACACAGCTGACCCAATGTACAGCACGGTCGCTTAAATAAAACAGAATAAAAGCACAACGATCTCGAACTACTGTGCGCTCATTTTGTCACTAAATCGATATAAATGTGGCCAAACTAATTGGATCTCAGAGGCTAA